GACAATGTTCTCCACACCGCTCATCTGCAGAAGACGCAAAAAGTCATCTCGTGTCTTTCAACTTGCGTATTCCCCGATAAGGTTGAATACCCCCTCACAGAAGAAAAAGTACACCTTGGTCCACCCCACAACAGCAACTTCGGATATGCTCATGCAAAGAGGATGGTTGATGTGCAAAACCAGTCAGACATCTTGATCCTACGTTGTGGAACATACTAATACATTGATCAAAGTGCCTACAAGGAAGAATTTGGATGCAATTTTACATCTGCAATCCCCACCAATGTATTCGGTCCTCATGACAATTTGTGGGTCTGCTCCTTTGATCTCACGTCAGGTCACCAATCATCCGTAGTGACCTTAAGCACGCCCATGTTATGCCCGCCCTCATTCATAAATGCCATCTGGCAGGAAGTACGCGCTGTCTTCCTGATAAAATATGTAAAAAGCTGACCGATGTCATAGAAAATGGAACACCATTCAAAGTCATGGGTGACGGTTCGCCATTGAGACAGTTCATTTACTCCCGCGATTTGGCAAAACTTTTCATTTGGCAGTTGCGTGAATATGACGATGTAGAGCCCGTCATTCTTTCTGGTGCGTATTACATCACGGCGCTCGGTGTTTGAATAACCGCTTGATCATAAAATTTCAGTTGACGAGAAGGATGAAATCAGCATCAGGTCATTGGCAACGTCGATCGTCAAAGTCATGGGATTCGATGGGAATGCAGAGGTAAGAAGCCTCTCCCACTATATATTCAATCCTCTAAACATTTATACATGTTAGTTTGAGAACGAAGCAAATGACAATGGCCAAGATCGCAAACCTGCATCCAATGAGAAGTTACTCAGCCTCATTGGACGAGATTTCAAGTTCACACCCTTCGACATTGGTTAGTTCTTGTCCCACCTTTAATCAGTATTCATCCCAAAGATTCATGTACTGTACAGCCCTTCAAGAAACTGTTACTTGGTTCCGTGACAACTACGCAAATGCCAGAACATGACGTGTTTAGGCGATTGTCAGTGGGTTTCGTGGCACAGAATTAGTAGCTTCAAATGTAACATCTAAACATGATAATCGACACGGTATACCAAGTTGATTTTGGAACATAGCAAGCGTTGGGTCCCCGATTTTGGCTGGGCACGATTCTGAGATATCTTTCCGATTTTATCCTAAATCGGATATCTTGAGCACGGTGCCGATCTCGTTAAAAGTCCACATTGCTGTTGGGTGCGGGGAAATGTCATCGACGCCCACCATCACAAGTTTCACACGCCATTCTTTGTCGCTGCAAAGAAGTTCCATTGGACGATAGGGGACTTTCGACGTAATGACTTTACGATATAATGATGTGGTCCACGGGTAAAGTTCAATCGAAACCACTGCGATTCTATGACAAGGAGATCAAAGTTACTAGGAAGTGTCAATTTCAGCCTTACAACAATCATCGAAGAAATGGTACGAAGTTGACTCACAAAGAATTTCTTGTGAAGTTTCGATCCAGTTGTCTCAATCAAATCAGATTCTTCGGGGGTAAGGTCAGGGACATTGATGGTATCAAGATATTCCCGGATGCGTTTTGGTTTGGACGAAGTGCTAGGGGAGATCATCAGTTTTGGGACATACACCATAAAAAATTGCATGGGCTGACGTCACGACAAGGATTTTTTTCTGTTGCATCCACTTGTTGAGGACCTGCCCATCGGAAACAGGGCTCCCCCGAGTAGTTTCCAGCCTCGAACGAATTTTCTCGACAACAGGATCCAATGGTCCTCCCTTTTCCCGGAACAGAGGTGAAAGGCCACCATATGAAGAGGTGACGATGCCATGTTTTGCATGCATGTCAAGGACAGATTGGAGGGACTTCCAGACGTATGGGTGAAGCTCGATCTATAAATGGGATATTTCTGAGAACTTGCTGTTGCTGCTAGAATAGATCACCCTGTACACACCTGGTTTACTGCGGGGGAAATAGAACCGACTTCCAAAATCTCCTTGAGATGCTGGGGTTGAAAGTTGGAAACACCAATGGATTTGGTCAGCCCCTCTGACTGACATTCCTCCATTTCTTTCCACACCTGCCCCAATCGTCCCGGGCCCTGGTGGTGGCTAGGTGAATGGATGAGATATAAATCAACTTGCTGCAATCCCAGCTTTTTTAAAGAATCCTCCAGTGCCGTCTTAGCGGTCTGACCGGACTGTAGTTTTGTAAGTTTAGTTGTGACGAAGATCTCGGAGCGAGGTTTCCCAGATGCAACGATCCCAGCACCTAGAGTGGTCTCGTTGTTGTACATCTGCGCTCCATCGAGATGGGTGAATCCATTTTCGAGAGCGATCTTTACGGCTTCCGTAGCATCTTGCTGATATAGTGCTGTCCCAGTGCCAAATGCAATCCAAGGAACCTGGTGACCATCGTTGAAAGAGATGCCTGGCACAGACATTGACATTGGTGAATGTTTGAATTCGTTGAGAGGCTGGGAGAAAACTTAAGATAACCCCGGAGCTGGATGCTTTGGTTTTAAATATGGATGTGTGCTCAAACAGGGGCTAATCAAGTTGGGATATCGGAATAGCGGGATCCGCAGAAACCGTTGAACCAGTTATGATAACCTGACTCGATAAAGCACTGGTATCTTTAGAAAGCCAACATGTGAGCTGCAATGGCCAACGTTTCAGGTCTATCGCAATCACGTTTTTCCTAATTTCAATTCTATCAAACAGAAGAGTCAACCGATTTTGAAGTTGTAGTACATGTGATGGGAACACCGAGTTGCAATCATATGCCTGATTGTTTTTTTTCAAACCTCCTGTTCAAACTAGTTCTGGTCCTCAACGAGACTCTGCACTGCTTTCAGATCAGCCTCAACCATCTCTCTGACGAGGGAATCGAAGTCGACTTTGCGCTTCCATCCGAGAGTTCGCTCGGCTTTGGCGGGATTTCCGAGGAGGAGACTATGAAAGAAAGAAAGTTGCGTCAATGATTCGCTCCTGCATTGAGATTGAAAGAAGATATTTACTCGACTTCTGCAGGTCTGAAATATCTCGGATCGACCTTGACAATGACTCGATTCGTCTGAACATCGATTCCCTCCTCGCTGACACCAGTGCCACGCCATCTAAAAGCGGTCAGGATTATGTTTCAGGGTAGATATCCATAATAAACATACTTGATTGTTATTCCCACCACGGCAAACGCCTTATCAACAAACTCCCTCACGGGGTGGGTTTCTCCAGTCGCGAGAACAAAATCTTCCGGTTCAGGTTGCTGTAGCATGCGCCACATTCCCTCGACGTAATCCTTGGCTATATGCATCCCCCACCAAATAGGTCGAACGTGAAACTTACCGAGGATGAATATATCATTGACTTACCGTGTCCCCAATCTCTCTGCGCGTCAATGTTTCCGAGATATAAGCAGCTCTGTTTGCCAAGCTTGATGTCCGCAACGGCCCTGCTGATTTTCCTAGTCACGAATGTCCTTCCTCTACGCGGACTTTCGTGGTTGAACAGGATCCCATTACACGCGTACATCCCGTACGCTTCCCTGTAATTAACCGTGATCCAGTAAGCGTAAAGCTTAGCAGCACCATACGGGCTACGAGGATAGAATGGAGTAGTCTCGCTCTGCGGTGTTTCGACGACCTTGCCGTACAACTCAGAGGTTGATGCTTGATAGAATCGGGAATGCGCTGAGAGCCCGACTGTACGGATGGCGTCAAGCAAACGCAACGTGCCGAGACCATCAACATCAGCAGTGTATTCGGCCATCTCAAAAGATACTTTGACGTGAGATTGAGCGCCGAGATTGTAAATCTCAGAAGGCTGAACTTGAGCGAGGATGTACACGAGATTGGTGCTGTCGGAGAGATCTCCATAGTGAAGGTGGAATTTGTTTGGACCTACGTTCCGTCAGTCCAAACAACCAACGGCAGTGAAATTGATGAAAACATACGCTCGTGCTGATCTTCGTACAGATGATGCAATCGCCCAGTGTTGAAGCTGGACGAACGACGAATGATACCGTGAACTTGATAACCCTTGGATAACAGAAGCTCGGTCCTGAGCGTTAGAGAACGATTATTAACATGAATGTTTGGTCATATAGGAGATAAAGGAAAGGGTGTATTGTGAGTTGAAAATACATCGAATCGCGAATCTCCAATTGATAGATCGATAGGATCGTGTCGAAATCGTGGTCGGGAATTTTGAATCTCAATACTTACAGGTATGATCCATCCTGGCCAGTGATACCTGTAACCGAAAGCGAGGAACAATATTTCAGTACAGTCTTATCGCGTAGACCAGAAACTAGAATTTCGAAACGTTAAAGTATGCGTTGCGGTCACATGAACCTTGAGTAGCATTCAACATCAAACTGCCAGCAAGCGTATACGAACGACGTTCGAGATCGTGCTACGAAGAAAGTAACCAGCAGGCGACGCACCAGAAATGAGTGCAACTTTTCTCTTTCTAAACTCCTCGACAGAAGGGAGGTCAAGCTTGATAAGTGGGGCCTGGGGTTCTGACATATTCGCAGTTCAAGGGTGAGGCTTGAGGATCGGATCTGTTTCGATGTTTCGTGTTTTATACAAATGACACGCTGCAAATGCCTTTTTCAAATGGCGCTGATTGATATCACGATCTATCACGATCCGAGCGTCAAACCACCTGTCACTACCGCAGCCTCAAGGCTGTAAGTTGAGGTGGAGTGGAAAGAAAATAGGACAGGTCAATAACGTCAAACAACGCCTGTTGTGATATATACGTAGATATCTAGTATTAGCTACAAAGTACAATGGTGGTGACACGGGCTAAGTTGTACTTACATGCATAGTATCGAAGAGTACGCATTTATGCCTTGCAACGGGCACAAAATTTGACTCTTGACTGCGAATCTTTGTGTATGTCTGGGTTATCTGCGAGAAGCGACGTGGAGCTAAAAAAAATTGAACCTCTAATTCATGGTGAAAAAAATCCGCTGTGAGGTTTCCAACTACCGACGACGGGGATCGAACCCGCAACCTTTGCCTAACAATAACAGCGGGTAGGAAGGCAACGCACTACCATTGTGCTACGACGGCTTCGCATAGTGAACGGAATATGTATATCATAAGATAACTTGAGGAGTCCAACCCACGAACTTGCTACTTATCACAAGCGAAGCTCGGACTCTTACACAACCATGCTGCGCGGGGTTAAGCTGCCAACCCGTTGAATTCCAAACTTTGGTCTGCTCTGCACATCTTGTGAGCATCAGGATATCGACGCAAACGGCTTGCACCCGGACAGGCATTCCGAATGCAGACGCCACGGATAGGATCATTTTGTCGTCATCTTACGAAATGATATGGAGGAAAAAGTGAATCCGCTAAGTCCCATGGCCCGACTTCATGATGATATACTCCTCATATGTTTCAAAAATGACATCAAATTGTGGGAGCATACAAGCGGAAAACGCACGGATGACCCACATGATGCGGCAGTTACCATCTCACATGTCTCCCGCTACTGGTGTCAACTCGCACCCAACACCCCCCACTCTGGACACATGTTTGTATCACGCCCAACAAAATCTCAGACGTTGGATTTTTTTCGCGATTTTCTTAGCAGATCTCACAGTATGAAGATGTCGGTGTATTTAAGACATTGCGAGGATTCTATATGTATAATTCACTTAGCGCAGGGTGTGAGGTGAGTTCTGTATCTACATCAAGCACGACATTGATAATATCCGTAATCACCCATCAGGGCTATCAAGTGGTGTCTCGTTACAAGAGCAATAATTGGGAGAATGAATACGATGGCTATCAACCGGTTATCGAGGTTCTTTTAACTGCTTCACATCGTATCGCCCTCATGTCAATCCAGAGCTCTGTAAACATGATCAAAGAGATGATTGCTAAGTTCTCTCACAACGTCATCTTTATCCTCGGGTCCTCAATTATTTATAGCTTTGGCTGCGCTGGCTATCACCAATCCTCTTGGCACGGAACCGCTCAATTACTACCAATTTCAAGCTCTTCTCAAAGAGTCGGTCAATTTGAAAGTTCTTACCATCGATGCCGTCGCTATTACCAGACCATATGATTCCGCGCGTCTTAATATCAGCGAAATACCAATGTTAGAGCATTGTTAGAGCATCTATCTTTCACCGCACCAACATCTGATGATTGGAAGTTTTTTGCTTCCCTATCCGTCCCAAACGTACGCCAAACCACCTTTCTCAACTTGTCCTGCGTCACGGAAACATATAATATGTTTTTCGAGAACGATCTTTCCAGATTTCCTAATGTGGCGACTCTTGCCCTGGATAGCTTTGATTCTCGACGGGATGATGTCGCTGAACTATTTTCCAGAGCATTTCCGAACATCACTTCTCTCACAATCGATGTAGCATCCCTTATTTCCCTTGCTTAGGCTTACGTGCATTATCGTCAAGATGCATCCGGTATCCTCATATCGGATGACAAGACAATACCAAGTTGGCCCTATATGCATCGTATTTCTCCATCGCTTGCTGCTGGCTGAAGTGGCGACAATCCGAAGCAAACTGTTCGTTTTGCATATATATTACTGGGATGATTGCAGCGCGCAGCAAAGTAGGCGATACTGTCTTTTCCAGGCACCTCAAGTAACTACAACTGTACGGCAAACCAGAAAGATATCCAAGACATGTATGAAGATACTGATAGGTATAGTCTCTTCGTGATATGTTCTCATCAATCAGACGCTGACTGGATATGAATAGTTCTTTGTTTCACGGGATTGCTTTATCAATTTCATCTTGAGAAAGTTCTCACTGACCCAGTATTTTGAACTTTGAATCGATTGAGTTGCAGCGATTCCTCAACAATGCTAGACTCTGCCAGTGAATATGTATGCACATATTACAGCTCTTTCAGCCGGGTTTCGAAATGTGTGATAAGGATGTATGCAGAAGCTATTTGGCTAGCTGGACCGAATTCTCTCACCGATCGCAATTTCTCTCATGGGATACACAATCAAATCACTCTTCGACTGTTGAACAACCCATGACCGGTTGTTCCTACATTGATCTAGAAATGGAATATTGCATGTGAGTGCCATCTTCCCGAGGTTTCCGAAACGCTGATAGCAAACGTTTAAATAACTTTAGGAGTTGCGTTCCAGTAGTATACGCCATTTCCCATGTCTGAATCTTTTGGTTATGGAGACCTCAAATTCGAGAGGCCAGCGAATCAGGTCAAAACAAACAATGTTCCAGCAATCCCTAAGCGCATCCATGACGGGATGAAGGCGTACGAAGATGCCGCCCGCGGTGTGTCCCCCCACCCCCGCCACGACCGAACTCATTTATCTAATTTCCCGAAGGTTTTCATCTCGTTTCTTTCGAGCGCAGGGTCAAAGACATGTCAGGACAGGAAGTATCCGGAGGAATCATAGTATCGCACCGTCCTGCCTCGGCCCAGGTCTCCCAGCTATATCGGATGTCTTTTGATACCTCCAAAGCAGATCTCGAACGCATCACTCATTTTGAAACTGGGACAGGGAGAATTATCTCTGACTTTGTGACCATCATTGGCGATGATTGGCGGGGACTTCATAGAGCTGGAGGGGCCATCATGGTTATGGATCTCGATGGAAGTGAACACTTTCAATTATGGTTTGTCATTATGTTCGCGTGTTGCTGTGCTTTCACGAGCATATTCACAGGCGTTACTGGGAGGACGCAATTTCCCGACAAATATTACCCAAGATTGATGGGGAACTCAGCAATCTTCCAGGAAAAGGACGCATCGAAAGATTGACGCATGATGATTTCAGGTATCAGAATCTTGTCATTTCCAATTCAAACAAGTGAGTCTTCCTTGTCACACGTACTCACTTTTCATAATAATTTCTCCAGGTTGATGGCCTTCTCTTCTAACAAGGAAAACAATGCCGATACTTTGATATATCTCGCTGATTTCTCTGCTTCAAATGCGAACGCAAAGGCAGATTCAACACCATTCACCCTTCCCTCGAAATTGGTTACTCCGACAACTGGACAGGGGACTACACACTGGACTGTTCATGATTTCTCTATCGATGACAAGTATCTCGTTTTAACAAAGGATTTTGGAAACGCGTACAAACATCTATATTCCGTCCTGCTTTCAGAGTCTTCGGTACCTGAACTTATAATTCTTCCAGGCTTATCGGAAAACGAAGAAAACACTGTGTATGAGCATTTGAGCTTCTCCCGTGATCCAAATCAGCCCCATTTGCTCTTTATTGTCACCAACGGGTATGGTGATTTTAACAGCGTCGTCTCATACAATCTTCGTACCCACGATGTAGTCCACATTACAACATTCAGCCCAAACCTTCACGCCCGCCGTCCTATCCCATGGGATATTGAAGCTTTGAAGGCGACTTCACGCAGTATCCTCTTCATTGCCAACTTTGAAGGCTGGAGCAATCTTTTTGTTATGCCTTTATCGGGACCATTCCAAGATACAGTGATTGAGATCAAAATGGACCATGAAGGAGGTTGGATGTCATGTCTTCCTAACGAATTGAACGGGAACCCCGACGAGATTGTTTTCAATTTGACGTCTTACCGTTCCCGGGGTTACCTTGGCAAGGCGGACATATCTGCAGCATTTACCAAGGTCGACAGGGATGACAATGGCAATGCATATATATCTGTTTCGACGGATCTTTATCGCCAAGCTTCTGCACCTTCGGAACCGCAACCAATCGCACCAAAGCTCATCAGATATAAGAGTTTTGATGGACTGGATGTCCCTGCGATATATTATCACCCTAGTAATGGCCGTTCAGCTGTTCCAGCCATCATTGGCATTCACGGTGGGCCTGAATGGCAAGCCACAGCAGAATTCCGAATGTGAGTACACATTGGAATTGAAGGTTGTAGTTATTAGTTTTGACCTCAATCTACAGCCCCATTCACGGCTATATACTAAACAAGTTAGGTTGTGCCATCATCTACCCGAATGTCCGCGGAAGCACTGGTTACGGAAAACGATATATGGCAGCAGATGATGTTTTGAAACGTGAAGATTCAGTGAAGTTTGTTAACTACTGTGCTAGACCGGATATTGGGCGGCTCATCTTGAATTTAGAGATATTGGGGCACTCCTGGATCACATTGCCAATGATATGAGAAATGAGCTTGACTCTGCCCGCGTCGCTGTCATCGGAAATTCTTGTGAGTTGGGTTT